ACTAGGTACGACATATATATATATATATATATATATATACAGTATACATATATTATAATTCCTTATATACAGGAAGGTTCACTAGGTTGTGAGAGTAAATAACATAGGGTTTGAGTATTACATTCTTGCAAAATGCCACTAATATTTCGGGCAACTTATCAAAGTATTAATAATATACATTATATCAGAATTTGTGTTGAACATAATAACTACAATATAAGTTGATAGCATTGATTATAGTGGTGAAGTTGCAAGTCTTGAGGACTATAATTGGGTGAGCAGGTAGCACAAGATGCAGTGTGAGTTAAGAGTACAAGGTAAGAAATATGAGGATGAAATTAAGTACAGTACTTTTAAAGCATAGAGTGTGGGTTGGACAATTTGTTTGATTCATTAGGAATTTGGGAGTGAGTTCTATAGACTGGTTCTTTTTATTTGCATTGAGTGTTTGCGCAGATTTAGTCTGACTCTTGGGATATCAAAGAGATATTTATTTCTGGTGCTCATGGGTTCAATTACATCTATCATAGAAGCGTTCCAAATCAGGATCAGCATTTATGAACAGCCTCATATATGTGAATACTTCCTATATACTTCCTCCAGTACCTCCATCACCAGCCTCGTCAATTAATACAGTAACTCTCAGTTTCATGTTTTGGTTTAGTGTTGAGCTTAAGGCCGAGTTAAGTTCACGAGGGTTATTAAGGCCTTAACACAGGCTTACTGACTAAGCAAGTATACTTTAATCTCTGAGGATTAAGGTAAATTCTCTGAATATACACCGAGAACTGGGGTACGCCTTTTGGTGTACCCGAATTCTGGGCGGTGAGGTGGTCCAGCAGAGCCGGTAGGAGGGCACTTAGGAGGGCACTGAGTCGATTAAACAGGGGTCATCGGATAGGCCAAGCAGGCTGTGGTAGTGAACCAGAATGGAATGCAACAAGGTATGCCTAATAGGGTCGAGGAGCACATAGTAATGTTTTGTGATATTGTTCTCTGAAGGTATCTATTACTGGCAGGTGGCTGCAGGTAATGAATCCCCCAATGGTGAACATTCTAATTGTAAACTATGTGAACAAGAGCTGGAACATACTCTCCAACACTATATGTGATTGCCCTGTTATCAGTGACTTCAGACCAAATAGTATGAGATACTTTGAGCTCTGTAATTACTTCATACACTCAGGAATATTGGAAGATATTCTTGTGCTGTGCCCAGATAATGCTAGTGGGGGCTAATAGATCAGCCTCATATTTTACGCTCTCGCCTGATTTTTAGTCACAGTTGATTTGTTTTTGTATTGAGGCTGGTATTTTCTCCCATGATTCCATTTATAACTAACCATCCTGTGAGATGGGAATATTGGATGAACTTATATCTAGTTTTTGATCTACACTGTGTAATTTTCCATATAGATTAGGGTAGCAGCACATTGCTGTGTATACCTTAGTTTGTTAATTAAAAATATATTAATGGCGTTATAGTTTGTAATAACTAGTGTCTTATTTTCATTTGTTGTGCATTATTCATTCGTTCAGTATTCTTAATATAATGTCGGTTGATATAACGTAACTCAAGTTCAAGTTCAAGTATGTTTATTGAGACAAGAAAAAAATACATCTCAAAGGGATAGAGTAGCTTAGGCTATTTCTAATCCCCTCTACTTCAAGTCCCTCAAGGGGCGCACAAATTCAGTGAGTACAGATACACAAATCACAATACAACATTTAACATTGCATATTAATATAGTAAGTGTTACAATCATTGGGGCAAAATTCTTGTAGTTCCTAAGTATTCTGTCTATCATATCATTATCACACATCCAAACAATTTGAAGTGGTACACTACTTATTTCCTTATTTCTATGGTTATCCATAATTTGACACTTTAATACATAATGGTCTTCCAAGTTCAAGTAGGTTTATTGAGACAAGTTAAAAAAAAAAAAAAAAAAAAAAAAAAAAAAAAAAAAAATCAAAGATTAGCTTAGGCTATTTCTACCCCTTCCCATACTTCAAGTCCCTCAAGGGGCGCACAAATTCAGTGAGTACAAATACAAGAATCCCATGTAACATATCAGGTTAATATAGTACTATCTAAGAGTATAATAGTGTACATCCACCGCACTAGATTTTAACCCATTAACGCTCCAAGATAATATTCTCACTCTACTTTCATCCATGATTTAATAAAACTACCTTTGCCCTGTCTGTCACATTCCATGAGATACGAGATTTTCTCAGACAGACTCTCCCAACACTGTAACATTTCTGCTTTCTCCTCATTTGCACAACAGCTACTAGCATCAAAGGTGATCTTATTCATATCTAATTTCTTTCTTATTTCTCTATACCGTTTTACTTTAACCTTTGTTTCGACATTTGTCACTACAGAAGGTTGAACGCTAACACTACTAGAAAGTTCATTTTCCTGACTATCCTCTATCATCAATACGTCATGTTCTTCCTTACTTTCTTCAACGCACATTTCACGTCCTGTTTCACTTTCCACTTCACGTCCTATTTCACTTTCCATTTCACGTCCTGTTTGACTTTCCATTTCACGTCCTGTTTCACTTTCCATTTCACGTCCTGTTTCACTTTCCATTTCACGTCCTGTTTGGCTTTTCATTTCACGTCCTGTTTGGCTTTCCATTTCACGTCCTGTTTGGCTTTCCATTTCACGTCCTGTTTGGCTTTCCATTTCACGTCCTGTTTCACTTTCCATTTCACGTCCTGTTTCACTTTCCATTTCACATCCTGTTTCACTTTCCACTTCACGTCCTGTTTCACCACCATCTTCACCCCGTCTACCCCCCATAGTTAATTTTTCTAATGCCTCAATCCTCTTTTCTAGTTTTTTTAGATATTCCAATATTTGAGTACCAACCTCAGAGTTCACTATATTGACCTGAACCTTGTTTCCACAAGGTTTAATTTTTTCAGCTGCATTTCCTACTTTCCCTAGGCTCGCCTTAATTGTCTCTGTTCCTTTCTCCCACACATTGTTCATAGGCGCTGTCATTGGCTTCCAACTGTTTCCTCCATGTTCCTGCTGCACAATCTTTCCTTCCTTCGAGGATACATCTATCCTGCTTGTAGCACCCGTCCTCGAGTCTCTCAGATGAGGCTTCATGCGACATAGATAGGAACCAGCATTGTGGCTTCCTCGACAATTGCAACAAGATGGGACGATTTTTTCACCGTTTTTAATCTTGACTCTACACTCTCGAGAGTCGTGTTTCTTACCACAGTACCGACACCTGGAGTCAAACTGGCATTTCCAAGCCATATGTCCCCAACGAGAACACTTCATGCATAATATGGGCTCCTCAATGTATTTTACAACTTTCCTGTAGCCTAGTCCTTGCACAAAAATTCTTTCTGGAGCCTCACCCTTTACCAAGGCAACAACCTGGCTTTGTTTTTCACCACGAACACTGTTCCTCTTTGCCCAAACAACACTATCATTGTTGAGCAATAGATAATCAGGATCCAAATAAGTTGGATACTTAAACACTATGACCTTGGTGTACATCATACCTTTTTCCGGAGTAACCATCACAATATTCTCAAACCCATCCTTCGTTAGGTGTTCCACGGCCTCCTCTGTCCCAACTGTTATATAGGGCCGGTGAAGACCCTCCTTGAATAGTGGTTCATATTCAAAAAACTCCTTAGCCAAACGAACCGTCCACTCCAGCTTTTGATGGAAATTCAGTTGACATGCTGTAGGGAACAACAGCCTCTTCCTTCCATTAGTCTGCATCTCCCGCGTCCTGCTGAGCATGTCTTCATTTTTTGGTCTCTTTGTTATTTCCTCCTCACTGTCTTCGTCTCGCTGTCTTTGAATATTTCTCCGTTTATATCTGTTTACTACTGCTTGATACGGCCTAGTATCATCCTGTCTGCCATCCCCACTGTCACACTCTCCAGGCCCAGTACAGGATCTTCCATCACCTAGGCAGACCGCCTCAGCCATTTCCTCGATACACAAAGGCACTGTATCACTGCAACAGTCGAGAACAAATTCACAACATCTAGCTGCAGCAGCCACGTGCAAACACGAAGATGCGGAGCAACACGTCCTCCTCGCATCATGCAGCAGACCGCACTGATAACGTAACTTAAGATTATACACGAATAATAGATTCAAAGAGTCAAATGCATTCGAAGTCACTTGGAAAAGTTTTTTAATATTAGAGAAATACTTAACAGAATATTGTTTTGTTTAAGAATTTTATGTTACTGGAGTATTCATTACTTACAGTTTCCTACTATAATTAGAGTTCATAAACCCTACTTTTCTAAAATAAAGGGATATGAGGCTCGCGGCACATGCAAGCTCTCAAGTATAAAAGTCTTCTGAAATGCACTTCCATTGGCAGACGTGAAAGTGCTTTTCAATGATATCATGCTTGTCATGACACTGACTTATAATACCTTACAATGCAATAATGTTATCATAATCTATATGGTATCAAAAGGGCCGGCCTTAATTAAGCCAATTTGACAAATTGCTCCCAATTACTGGGCCCAGTACTGCGGTAATCTACTCTGGTCTTATAAATTCAAACTACCTTCTAACACAACCAAAAGCAAGCAACAAGGATAACTTTTTATAACAAAAGTTAGTTTTGGGAAATCTGAAAAAAAGATATTTGCAATTATGCTCTTCATTCACATTTTGAATGTTTTTTTCTAAACAAAAAAAAATTGTATTGCCAATTGCAAAATTGTATTGTTAATATTTGTAATAAATCACTTTACTGAAACAGTCCTAACTGAATTTGGAGAAACGTTAGAAACGTTCCCTACTGGGCCCCTGCAGCTGCTGAGGCCGGCCCTGTGGTTAGTCACTATCTGTTAAATACTAATTTCCATTTTTTTTTTAATTAATAATTAGGGAAAACCTTTGTCGAGTAAATTATATATCCGATATCTATTTACAGCTTGTTAATTCTGATATATTTCAAAAGGAGTCGAATAAAAAACTGCATAATGACTATCTTTTATTAATAATTTGGTAATTACATTTAGGTCTTAATGCCTTAATCAGTCTTACACGGGTTAACCCGGCGTCATACAGTAGTTACATTGGTGTTACCGGAACACGGAAATTATGTCGAAATTATCTCTGCATGTTTACAATGGCAAAGCACATTGGAAATATATCCTTTATTCATGATTATGGCAATATGTAGTCAAGTTCAAGTTCAAGTATGTTTATTGAGATAAGCAATAAATACATCTCAAAGGGATACAGTAGCTTAGGCTATTTCTACCCCACAATATGTAGTCTAGTAACACACATGCTTAGGTAACGTGTGTACACGTGTGTGTGTGTGTGTAGTAATATATATATGTTAGTAGAGCGAGCATTAGCTCTTGGACCCCGGCTTTCAGTAGCCGGTTACCAGTTGTCCTCTTTCAGGACAGTCCGTCCTCCTAAGATTTCTCAATGGCTCCAATGTCAGGGGTCCCGTGAAAACCCTGGGTCCACCAAGACACTGCTGGCCAGTGTTGCCTACTTGGTGACTTAGACTAGAGATATTAGATAATATTCTGCCTGTTCACTGAAGACCCAGACATCCTACATGTAAACAACAAGCATAGACAGTAATTATTCAGAATACAAACGCCGCATGATAAGGATTTGTGGCAGACAGGATACAACACATTGAAGTTGATGACGCCTAGCATTTAGAAGTGATGATACGATTTGATGATGATGATGATGATGATGATATAAAATGTTCGTTTTTTTGTGAGCAGCATATATTAAAAATATGTAAATATGTATGAAAGATAATATCAATGACAAATGTTTAAAAGAGAATTATGAAAATTTGTATATAATTAAAATATTTTTCGAATGGCTATATATAAATTTTGCTGTTCTTGGACAAAATAAATACTATCCACATAATCCCTAAATTTGGGTAAACTCTCCTTGTTTTGAACGTTCGTGTTGTTTACCTTTAACAACTGGTCTCACTGACCTCCCCCCCCCCCCCCCCCTCTCTCTCTCTCTCTCTCTCTCTCTCTCTCTCTCTCTCTCTCTCTCTCTCTCTCTCTCTCTCTCTCTCTCTCTCTCTCTCTCTCTTGGAAACTCCAACAGCTGGTCTCTTGTTGACCTCTCTCTTTGGGATATACCAACAGCTGGTCTCTTGTTGACCTCTCTCTTTGGGATACACCAAAAGCTGGTCTCTTGCTGACCTCTCTCTTTGGGATACACCAACAGCTGGTCTCTTGTTGACCAGCGCACAGCCTTCCATAAATTTATGTTGAATTTTTCAAGATAAATGTAGAATTTTTCTTAAAACAGTCCTTGCATTCTTTCATATATACATCTTGAACTCCTCGTATGGTCCAAAAGGCCTTCTGCAGCTTCCATTATGTTCTCTAAAATCTGTCTCTGCGTCTCTTCATTTTTTGTTTAAATACAAACTATTTCTCTGGCTTTACGTAGATGCAAATTTTGTGTTCGATTTTGATTTGTTATTTTAAGCTCATAAAATCCCATGTAACTGTTGGGTAACTCGGAGCGATCTGTTGAACTGTTTAAACGTTACTCTCATTTTTACTTTGTAAGATCTGCGACTCACTTTGGTTACCGGACACTGATGAGTGCTTGCGGCTTCCATCCTGGCGTCGACTCGAGGACCATCGATATTTGTAGCCCCTGTCTGAAGACGTCCTTAGCGACGTGGACTTGGTGGTGAATGAGCTGCTGGTGCTGTCAGGCTGGAATTTTTTCATGCTAGCAATTTTCTGACGAATTTCATACCACACTTTTTGCTTACAGTCAAAAGCAATGAAAATGAAAGTTCCTTGAAGTCCATTAAATACAATGAAAAGATACTCAAAGACAATACTGAGGGTATGAAGTGAAAGGAAAGCAGACACCCAAGTTAAACCCATCATGAGGGCCAACTTGCAGTAAAGTACCAGTCGTATCCGTTGTTTTTTGTGGGCTACGATTCTCCTGTGAATTCTCTCTTTTATACGTTCAGCGCATCTCGGTGAACCGGACTCTTCATTACTCTTTACATTTAACATTCTTTCCCCAACTTCAACGTTAGAAGACTTCAGAAACTTTTCTTTTTTCTTCCCATTCCCCTGCTGGCTGCTGCTTTTATGTATTGTCGACGAGGCAAACTCTCCGGACTTCATTTGTTTGTATATACTGTATACTGACATTGCATACAACATAACGTTGCTCAGTATCACTAGGCTAGACGGTAGGGTAAAGAATGCCACTAGTCCCCATTTGTTGTTGAACCAGCACACGTCCGTTCCAAACTGTGGCGTTAGAAGGAACTCAGGTGAGGACAACTGGTTTACGGAGACAGCTGTCAGAGATCCAACTAGCGGCACAGACCATGCGTATATTGAATACTGAAAGAAAACTGAACGAGACTTCATCTTGTATGTTCTTGAGAGAAAGGTTCTGCAGATATCAATGCTCATGACATTCATCCAGAGGAAAGAGGCACTCAGAAAGTAATAAATCATTACACTAATGATAACGCAAGAAGTGTAGTTTTGATTCATGTGAAAGAAATTTACAAATATGAATTCGGTGATAAATAGAGAAACAGTCATAGAAAAGAGATTCATACTGGGAATGTTGCGTCTTTTTGGGAGTGCCAGAAATATGATCATGTGCAAGAACATACATACCAGCGAGATGGAGATGAGAACTGCCGATATCTTGTTCATGACTGGAGTCCAGCGACCTTCCGGACGACACACTCTAATCCACGAGCTGTTAAACTCATATTCTCCCAAGTCGTATGTTTTTTCTGTGTGGTTGAGGTAGATACTCTGGTTTGGAAACATGACACTGTAGTCACGGTTAAAATCTCTCGTATAGCAGGATATGTTGAGGTAAGGACGACCATCAACTGTCTTGTTGTTCCTCAAACATTTGCCGTCAACCAAGGTGAAGAGAAAGCCGCAGGAGACATCTTCACAGCGATGGTGCAGGATATCCCATACCTGACTGTCCTCACACTCACCGTCAATGATGAAAAGGTCAATCAGAGAAGGCGGTTGCGCAAATATGCGTAGGTCAAGGTCGTCAATGATTGGGTACTTGTAAAGACACTGAATGTCACCCTCTTCTTCCTCATTACAAATGGCGCAGTCCCAGTTTTTGTACACGATATCGTTCACCTCCACGTAATAATTGTACGACGAGCATCGCTGCCAATTTTCCTTATCGGGCCAATCCACCTTGCACGAGTTGACTGTCTCCTCACACCTACGACCCACAGTTTCGGGATAATTTACATCCAACAAGCAAGACATAGATGGTTGAGAGTGCAACACAGGTATCCCACTCGGCACCTCTTCGCCCTCACTGTTTGCCAGGGTCCACCTCAGCTGCCCGGGATGGTAAGTCATGTTGGCCAGTTCAGCCGCAGACGTTATGTTCAGAGAACAAGTGATGCTCACATTCATCCTCTCTATACGGAAGTCGTGGTGACATTTCGAGCAATAGACATTGCTGTAAACGACCCCAGAAGCGTTGGAGAAGACGGGAATGTCCATGAGATAGGTAGCAGGAGCAGTCCGTGCACACTTGGCCGCCAGCTGAGGCTCCGTCTCTGCGGGGCACCGCCCCACCATGTACACCATCTGTGGACAAGGAAATACGTTACTCATGTGAGGCTTTCCGCCAGTCGAGAGCTCACATGAGATACTACTCACAACAATACAGAGTACTGACACGGAGAAAGATAATATAGTGTGCAAATGCTATAGTAGATTATCTCAGGAAGCAAGCCTCAGTAATGATAAATATTTCAATAAATATTCATAATATTGAAATTCTGTTTATTATACAATAATATATTTCATATGTACTTGATTTCTCTTAATTTAAATGTGACACATATAAAAAAACATAATCAGGCTTGTTTATATATAAGTACGGTGAGCAATATATTTATTATTAGAAAATGATTGTTAATAAATATATATAAAGCTTAAAAAGTCTTTAAACTGTGCTGAGGTGATGTAATCTTTGTGCACACGTGTCATTTCACTTGTTGAAAATAGCAACTACATTATTCATTCTTGTAGCTGTTAAAAAAATCTGAAACTTAATAAATGACATATCAAAATAGGATATCAATAACATATCTTTCTTAACTCCCTTCCTAACTCCCTCCCAATTCCATCCCCAGTATATATGTATGTACAGTATATGTGTATATGTACGTATATATATATGTGTGTGTGTGTGTGTGTATGTATATGTATGTGTATAAAGTATATATGGAAGCTGATCAGAATTACATTTCACCTTTGTAAATGTACATTAATGACACTATGTAAAAGACACATCGAACACTTTATGTAGGGCATACGTAAATTTGTGTATCTATGTATTTACGTATGTAGGTTAGCTTAGCATTTTAAAAGCACCGAATCACCTTCTGTGGTTGATTGTTCAATAAACCCTTGAACTATATGTTTATCACATCTCTAACCCTGTCCATGGAGGACAGAAGAAAATGTATATATGCTATATATATATATATATATATATATATATATATATATATATATATATATATATATATATATATATATATATATATATATATATATATATATATGTATATATTTGGGTTTTGTCTGCGACCGCCCACTTCACGAGCCACTAGATATAGTGGCCCTCAGGTAAATTCAGTTATGTATATATATGTGAGCAGAGCACATGTGATTTTCATGTGAGCAGAGCTTGAATGGTGCCCCAAGCACAAATATCACTATAACTCCATAGCCCCTCAAAGGATTCGAATCCAGGCCTTCTGGGGTCTTTCCACCAACAGCACCAGTACCATGACCACTGCACATGATCGCTGGTGTAGTGGTCATGATGCTATTGCCAGGGGTCCTCGAATACCAAGTCAAAATAACTGCAGAAGTGTAGTTGCAAAACCAAGAGTTGAAGCAAATACTTGAACATCTATAAATTGAAGTAAACACACAGAAACAATCTCAGGAAGTCAGTAGTAAACAATAGGATGTGATTACAAGTACTGAAAACCAGCTAAACTCCATCCATGTTCTCCAAGTTAATCAGAAGATGAACTGGAGAAGAACAAACTACAAGTCTCAGTGGTGTTGTTTATGTCTGTATTTCCTGCAGGATCTGAAGGTGAAAGCTGTATAAACATTATGATAAGTAAGCTTCAAGGAAAAGCTGGGTGCCACCCTCTAACAAACTGATATTTTAACAGCTTATAGAATAGGTAAGAAAAATCGTGAGGTGCAAACAGGAGAATTTATATTGAATTAAATAGTTACTGGAAAAAGGAGTTTCTCAGATCTGCTGTCTTAGAGAGAATGTGTCGTTGTCATTGAATGTCTCACCAGAACAAGGCAGGATCTTTTCTATGAGCTGCAACAAGCTCATCTTAATAACAAAACTCATCAAGCAGTGTTTTGTCGGAGAAGACATAACAATAGATGAGGGATATGGGATGTGTGGGATGAGGTTAAGACAAGTGTTATCCAGTTGATGTTGGCTGGGGTAGTAGGTGAGGCGTGAGTTGGATATTCTGATAATAATAATAATAATAATTCTGCAGACTAGGAGTCACAATAACGTGGCTGAAATATGTTGACCAGACCAAACGCTAGAAAGTGAAGCGACGATGACGTTTCGGTCCGTCCTGGACCATACACAATCGACTTGAGAATGGTCCAGGACGGACCGAAACGTCGTCGTCGCTTCACTTATCTAGTGTGTGGTTTGGTCAATAATAATTCTGTCGTGGTCTTGGGGATGCTACCATCCTTAAGACCAAAACAGAGTGTATGGGGTAATAACATTAGTCATAAAATCCAGGGACACTGCGTTTGTGCTCCCTCTTTATAAAAATAAAGAGCAGAAAAAACATTTCAAGTCTGGATTCGTTAGAATAGGGAAGTGGTTGCGTCTCCAGGGCCTGGTTACCCACCTTGGGAGTGGCCCACATGCGGTGAGCGGAGGGCGTGAGGCTGCTGCAGGTGAAGAAGGATGGGGAGAGGGTGGTGGGCGTGGTCTGGTGTAGGGGCGTCTGGACCCCCTGGCAGCAATCGCCATAGACGTGACAGTGGGCGTCGCAGCTGCACGGATACCTGGGTGACGAGGAAGCAGCTAACACGCTATTCTTCACTTTCAAAATTACAAGCTGCCCGGAAAGCAGAAATCCCAATACAGTATAGTAATAGCAAGCCCGAAAAGAAAATGTATAAATTAAAGTAGGATTGAACTCGAATCTATATAATTCGCATTAAATCCTACTTTACCAAACCGGATGGAACGCTCACAGCAACAAAGGACGCAGAGAGCATGTAATTGATGCTCGAATTGAGTCTTAAACCTGTTCCTGGAGCACCAGGATGGTGTCTGCTGGTACTCACACCTCCATCCTCCTCTTCATATATGAGGATGATATATGAGGAGTCCGCAGTCCGCATTATTATAGATAATAACAAGACAAAAAGACGAAGTCGCGTGTACTGTCCCGAAGACTCGGGTATCCAGTCTGGGATGTGTCCACACACTTCATAAGGATCATGTCTGGACATGTTCACACATTCAGAAGTGTGCTTTGGAATGTGACCAGTCTGATATATAGGTCTGGTCCGAAGTGTGTGTGCATATGTGTCCAGTCTACAATGTATAAAAACTGGAATATACAGTCTGGGATCTGTCCAAATCTTCAAAAGTGTCAATGAATCTTCTATAGAATGAAACACATTTAGTATTATCTAACCTTTAGTGTAGCTTACCTTGCCCCGAGTTCCGGCTGTTGTCCGGAGCAAGAGGGCGCTGACGTGCAGTTTGCTGGCCGCATTTCTGCTGGTTGTGCTGCCGAGTCTTGTGGCTGCTGAGTCTTCTCTGCTCTCCTCACTACCCGTTGCTGCCTTTCTAATGATGAATCCGTTTCGCGGCCTCGCGATCTTTGCTTATTGGTTCCCAGATAGTTTTGTTTACTTAGCATGTGGCTTCGTCTCCTTTGTGTATCATCCATATAGTTGCTTTGTCCGCCCTGTGTATCCTTCGTGTGTTTGCTGTGTCCACCCTGTGTACCCTCCATACGACTATCGCGTGTGGTGTTATCACCCGGTGGTCGCAGGGGGTATCGTCCAGACACGTGGGGGAGGTCACCCGGTGGCTCGGAGATCTGAGAAACCTTAGGGTGAGCTTGAATAGACCTTATAGTACCTTCATAGTTGTGGTGTGGCGCCGCTTCGTTGGAGGCTCTCACCAAGAGGCTGTCATCACCGCCATGGTCACCAGGAGAGGCTATCTGGGTGCCTTGGTGGCCAGAAAGCAATAGAGGCTTACTCAAACCCAATGTCGTTCTTGGCCCTGGTGTTAAGTCGCTCTCATTTTCTTTTTCAGCAAATTCACTTTTTAATCCGAGGAGTTCTTCTGTTCCACCTACAACGCCAGATACGAGATCATGGCTAGAATTCTCACTGGCCTCACTATTAATATCATCTTTATCAAGGTCACCATTACCAGCTATACCCAAATCACCATTAAAACCATCATCGTCGTCTCGTGCACAGTTACCCTCACTACACAGTGCGGGCGGTACTGTTGGCTTCCCATGTCGACCAAGACCCAGCGCAGCATCACGAGAGTAACACAGCGTGCAGCCCTCACTGTTATCTGCGTTATCAGCGTGTTGGTTACTGTTGAGCTGCGTGAGGGGAGCGCTGGCCGGGGTGGGGACCACTACCAGCAATATTGCGTAGGGCAGCAACCCCAACACTCGCCTCCACCTGCCTCTCCTCTCACGTGATGCGCCACTCATCCTCTCCTGTAGAAGTTAACTTACTGTTAGTAGGTTTTTGGAGAGAGAGAGAGAGAGAGAGAGAGAGAGAGAGAGAGAGAGAGAGAGAGAGAGAGAGAGAGAGAGAGAGAGAGAGAGAGAGAGAGAGAGAGACAGACAGACAGACAGACAGACAGACAGACAGACAGACAGACAGACAGACAGACAGACAGAGAGGAAGAAGGGAGGATAATTACAATTGAATTTGTTAGACACAGAGTATGGGTACACTATATGACCTTCATAGCTCTCGTAGCAACATTTATCAAAATAAAATATCCCTTCTATACGGTGTCTTTTTACATAAAAATTGTTTAATTATTTAGGTTATCAAAACTTTGGTAGTTTCATGATAATTTATCACTATATATATTTCATATATAGCTTATAACAATTGGTCTAATATACATGTGATATCCGCAATTGTAAATGATTCCTTTTTCAGACGTGAATATTGTTTCCTGGTGTTATCCGGTTGTGTAAGCCTCATGTATAATTGAAATTGAAATTGAAATAAGTTTATTGAGGTAAAATACACACAAAGGGATGAGGTAGCTGAAGCTATTCTCACCCCGTTCAGTACAACGTGTTAATATATACATAGAAACATATCACAAACAATAAACATATTACCGAACATTCTGAGAGATAAACATAAACATTTCCTATACCTTATGTATAAGGACTGGTGTTTTCGCCGGCCTCGGCCTGAGCCTAGTACGGTACCTGCCACTTGGAATCGTGTGTCCGATTTCCTGCCCCTACTACGGTACCTTGTGTCCGATTTCATTCCTCTAGCACTTTAGTATTGTTGCTGCCAGAAGCGGCTAGTTCACACTGATTCTGTGAGCAGTAGCGCAAAAAAGGATCACAGGGCGCCAACGGGCATATTTACATTAACAATTACACCCAATATATGAACAATATAATTATAATGACAGCAAACGTTTTGAAAGGCAACGTTTACATTTACAGCCAAACATTGACCCTGAACATTTACTTATTATTATTATTTTAGATTATATTTTCAATTTCTTATATTATAATGTTTGTGTATTTTTACTACATTTATTTTGTCACTGCAGGTTCGATCTGTTAGCTCTTTCACGCTGTCTTTGTAACCGTTGGTTCTCTAATATACTGTACTCACCTATTTGTGCTTGCGGGGGTTGAGCTCTGGCTCTTTGGTCTCGCCTCTCAACTGTCAATCAACTGGTGTCCTGAGCCTACTGGGCTCTATCATATCTACACTTGAAACTGTGTATGGAGTCAGCCTTCACCACATCACTGCCTAATGCATTCCATTTGTCAACCACTCTGACACTAAAACAGTTCTTTCTAATATCTCTGTGGCTCATTTGGGCACTCAGTTTCCACCTGTGTCCCCTAGTGCGTGTGCCCCTTGTGTTAAATAGCATGTCATTATTACCCTATCAATTCCTTTGAGAATCTTGTATGCGGTGATCATATTCCCCTAACTCTTCTGTCTTCCAGCGACGTGAGGTTTAACTCACGTAGTCTCTCCTCGTAACTCATACCTCTCAGATCGGGTACTAGTCTGGTGGCAAACCTTTGAACCTTCTCCAGTTTAGTCTTATGCTTGATTAGATATGGACTTCATGCTAGAGCTGCATACTCCAAGATTGGTCTGACATATGTGGTATACAAAGTTCTGAATGATTCCTTACACAAGTTTATAAATGCCGTTCTTATGTTGGCCAACCTGGCGTATGCCACTGATGTATTCACCAAGTTGTATTCACCTAGTTGTGCTTGCGGGGGGTTGAGCTCTGCTCTTTCGGCCCGCCTCTCAACTGTCAATCAACTGTTACTACTAGTTTTTTTCCCACATCACACACACACACCCCAGGAAGCAGCCCGTTACAGCTGACTAACTCCCAGATACCTATTTACTGCTAGGTAACAGATGCATTAGGGTGAAAGAAACTCTGCCCATTGTTTCTCGCCGGCGCCCGGAATCGAACCCGGGGCCACAGGATCACGCGCCCAGCGTGCTGTCCGCTCATCCACCGGCCCCCTCGCTCAGCCACCGGTGTGGCTGTGTGTGTGGATGTGGATGTGTGCGTGTGTGTGTGTGTGTGTGTGTGTGTGTGTGTGTGTGTGTGTGTGTGTGTGTGTGTGTGTGTGTGTGTGTGTGTGTGTGTGTGTGTGTGTGTGTGTGCGTGCGCGCGCGGGCGTGTGTGTGTGGGCGAGGTCAACACAACAATGATCGGGTATATGGTGTGGGGCCGGAGTAGGGGCGCGCTAATGGCTCCACAATGGCTGTGTACAGGACAAACACACGGATATTGAGCTCTTTGCTTCCATATATTCCTGAAAATACCACTAGTTCATACTGTAAAAATTTTATTATGACAATAATTTACAATTATATTTTTTTATACCAAGTGAACATGATTAACTTCTCTTATTTCATCAAGAGATCATTTTTTCTCCACTTAATATGCCATTAAATAAAATTTTTAATCAAATGTTCATCAACTTTTAATTACATTTAAAATATTTTGTCGGCACTTTTATTTTTCAAAAATTAACCTTAGATCTTTTTAACAAGGATAAACTGTAGTTGCGAAATTGTATTTAATAAAATATTGACCATCATTCAGTTACCTAAAATGTACAATCATGCCAGGTTGTTCCTGAAATTGAAATTGAAATAAGTTTATTGAGGTAAAATACACACAAAGGGATGAGGTAGCTCAAGCTATTCTCACCCCGTTCAGTACATCGTGTTAATACATACATAGACACACATCACAAGCAATAAACGTATTACCGAACATTCTGAGAGATAAACATATACATTTCCTCCTTTACACAAGTAGTATGGTATCAGACGTACACACAAATACTTCTGATACCATACTACTTGTTCCTGGCGGTCATCATGATCTACACTGTGTAATATCTCATACAGAATAGGGCAGGAGCACATTGCTGTGTATACCTGAAAAAAATGTCAGTTTTTTTTGTTTTGTTTTTGTTTTTCAGGGATATTCCTGCGCGGGCCCTAAGCCTATGGCTGGCCACACTAAATGTTACTTGTTTCTGTTTTACTTGGGCGGAGTATGAGAATTTATGACACCTATGTTCGTTTCAGTAAGATTAGTCCCATGTGTTTAACAACTTCTTCTGCTCTGTTGAATCTAAGTTTAAATCTTAATGGGTTTGTAACTGTGCACTGTGTTAGATAATATTCCAATGGTCTGTTGTGGCTGTAACTGTGCACTGTGTTAGATAATATTCCAATGGTCTGTTGTGGCTGTAACTGTGCACTGTGTTAGATAATATTCCAATGGTCTGTTGTGGCTGTAACTGTGCACTGTGTTAGATAATATTCCAATGGTCTGTTGTGGCTGTAACTGTGCACTGTGTTAGATAATATTCCAATGGTCTGTTGTGGCTGTAACTGTGCACTGTGTTAGATAATATTACAGTGGTCTGTTGTGGCTGTAACTGTGCACTGTGTTAGATAATGTTCCAGTGGTCTGTCGGGCATTTCTCCACAGTTCTGATATTTCCTCTCTTCTTCTGGAACCTGCAAGCCTATTTCCCATGCTGTGAATGGAGATTCACACGGAGTTCGACATCAATGGAACTCCAATGTGAATGGCGCTCAACATCACTTTTTACCCCATTCCATTTCTTCATTCTCACAATTACAAAATTCTTTCTATCCGAGAACTTTGTTTTCACCTGGCTCTTCCTTGTCAGTAGTGTCGTGTCTCGTGTCAAGAGTAGACGTGCTGCTCCCTGCTAGTTGGCTTAGTTGAGCATTTGGTCGAAAATTAAACCTAGAGTGTGGAATGGCGTGGCGCCGCGAGATGTATAATGAATGCGCCGGAAGGAAAGAAGCAATAGAAGTTAAAGAAGAAACAGTAATACATATTTGACTGCCAAGAACCCTATAGTGACGACCTCACACTATTTTCTGGTGTTAGCGGATGAGTGAACAAAGGGATATAGCACATAACCGCAAACACAAATGCTTCTTTGAGAAACCCAGCAAGAACCAAGACGGTGTTAAGACAACCGCACTTGTTTGTGACTCTCAGGTTAGGTATATGGCCTGATCTCTCTGCTACAGAGATAGGAAACATAGTGTGTTGATGTGTCTAACCTATAGGATCAAGAACATCTTATAGGTAATGGGATCCCACCTTTTATCTGCCTCCACACACGGGGAAATGACACTGGAAAATAAAGTAATGAGAGAGCGCTTGATAATTATATAGTATTTGACAGCATTTGCTGGTGACGCTAAAATAGGGCGGAAATACATTCAGAAGTGTAAGAATCGCTATAGGTTGACTTGAGGGTTTAATGCCGTTTAACGATGATAAATATCTTGTTCTAATCCCTTGAAATAATAATGTTACCAAGTATCATATCAGCTGGAAAATTTTGACATTGCCAAATATGATCTAGGCCGCCTGACTGTCCGAACACTTTGATTGTTTATTTTGCTTGGCAAGCATTAAAGGTGTTGCCACATCAGAGAGAAGCGCCCATTTTGACCAGATGTACTCACAGGCAGACGAGATACTCGAGTGTCTTTACTGAGTGCTGTGTGGCAGTGTGTGTTTATCTCTTAGTGTTTGTGAATGTCTGAACAAAAGGTTTGTGAATTTCATGGGACAGAAGGTTTGTGAATGTCTGGACAGAAGGTTTGTGAATGTCGGGACAGAAGGTTTGTGAATGTCGGGACAGAAGGTTTGTGAATGTCGGGACAGAAGGTTTGTGAATGTCGGGACAGAAGGTTTGTGAATGTCGGGACAGAAGGTTTGTGTATATATTTACTTCATTTCAAAATCCTGTTGGAAGAAAGCCGCAGAAACAATTTCTGAGGATTTCTTTGAATTTCTGAGGCTTTTCCTTCGAAAAGCCACCGGTTTCCTGTCCCTGGTCCTGATTCTACATCAAGACTTTCACATTATCACTATTTCCAATCGTTGATATATTGGGTAAAATATATCATTACCGAGTATACTCCTCGTACATGAACACAAAATTAGGTCAAACAGAATCATAATGTATGAAACAAACATACCAAAGTTGAGATGGGGGGACCCAGGAGCTTAAATTCAACCTGTGCAAGCAGAGGTGGGTGGATACACACACACACACACACACACATCACTAAATAAAGTCCAGGACGGTAGCACGTTCTTCACCATCTTTAAACATGAGATGTAAATGTTTACAATTTGTTATCAACTTCACATTTTTTATTGTTGCTGCCAGAGGCGGGTGTTGAGAGCCGCCATGTTTGAAGCTCTGTGGCAACCCGTCCTCTTAAAAATAACGTCACTTTTCGCTCGCATGCGCGATATGGCCAAATTTGGACGTAATTTGAAATGAAATCGACTCACAAAAATGACGTACTGTTCCGTTTTCTGTTTGAGTCGTCCGGCTTACTCGGCAAGCTTAGAAGATGATTCTTTCCATTAACGTTTTTCATACCGTTTGGAAACTTTATAAGAATTTCCTGCCCATCTAACCTATCAGAGGACCCTTAACTTACTGTTGTTGAAAAAAAATCCCAAATTTATTTTTATTTTTTTTTTATTTTCAAATTACGTCCATATTCGGCCATACGGGCAAACGGCCGAAAGCGACGTTCTTTTTAAGAGGACAAGTTGGTGTTGACGGCCGCCATGACCGAAGCTCTCGCCTTAATGATTCTCCCAACACTTCGCCCCGAAACTAATGACCCAACTATGTTAGCCACACATCCAAAAACTGGCCCTTATTACGAGCGGCCTTAAATTACAGGATTGGTTTACCGCCGCTAACGTCTTTGTTTACCTGTCAGTTAAGTGTGGTGGACGGGATGGGAGGGGGGAGGGGAGGGTGTCTCGGGTTGTGGGCGAGTGGTTAAGGGTCACCGTTCACTGTCAGCTGTGGTACTGTGTCACCCCTCACTGTTAGCTGTGGTACTGTGTCACCCCTCACTGTGGTACTGTGTCACCCCTCACTGTGGTACTGTGTCACCCCTCACTGTGGTACTGTGTCACCCCTCACTGTGGTACTGTGTCACCCCTCACTGTGGTACTGTGTCACCCTTCACTGCGGTACTGTGTCACCCCTCACTGTGGTACTGTGTCACCCCTCACTGCGGTACTGTCACCCCTCACTGTGGTACTGTGTTTAATAGTTTTATTTGGCCCGGCTGTTCATGTTCTCAGCTCCCATCATGCAGTTGTATGTCGTCCTGTTGTATAATGTATGACTATTAGTGTTGTTAGTATTGTAACTCTCACTGTAACTCATAGGGAGCCGGTCGGCCGAGCGGACAGCACACTGGGTTTGTGATCCTGTGGTCCTGGATTCGATCCCAGGCGCCGGCGAGAAACAATGGGCAGAGTTTCTTTCACCCCTATGCCCCTGTTACCTAACAGTAAAATAGGTACCTGGGTGTTAGTCAGCTGTCACGGGCTGCTTCCTGGGAGTGGAAGTCTGGTCGAGGACCGGGCCGCGGGGACACTAAAAGCCCCGAAATCATCTCAAGATAACCTCAAGATCGTCAAGGAAAACAATTATCGAGACGTGGGCTAGCGGTGAGCCGCTTCAATTCACAATCAAACGTCCCAGGTTTGAATCCCGGCCGGAGCGGAAACAAATTGGCAGCGTTTCCTTAACCTCATGCGTCTGTTCACCTAACAGTAATTGGCACCTGGGAGTTATAGACATTGATTGGGGGCGGCATAGTGGGATAGGCCAAATAATTGTCCTGTGTGTTTAATGCACACACACACACACACACACACACACACACACACCCTTTGACAAAAATCCGAGGAGGATTGACTGGGAACCAATCCACAACTGTTCACTCCTGCTCACCCAGCAGTAATTGGGGACTAGGGAGAATACTTGTAGAGTAAGGCTTACCATGAGCTGTGGGAAGGGAAAACCCTCAGCCTGGTAACAGGAGTCGAACGGTGTTTACACCTATACCCACCTGTTTACACCTGTACCCACCTGTTTATCAAGCTTCACGGTGTATACATGCATTGAGAGTTAACTCGTGGGCTGTGTTGGGGGGACTAAGGTATTCTTCCTGGTTGGTCTGCTTGCTACTATCCTAAAGTAGCCTAGTGGGTCCATGCTTAAGTAACTTATATTGAGATCCACCCGCCCCGCCCCCAGACCCTGCCTTGCGGGAGGGGGTCCTCGATATAAGGCTAGCGTGTATGAATACACTCTGGCTTCCTGTCCCCCCGATACAATGAACAATTGTTGTTATTATTGCGGCACCGCGGGGCTGGCGGACAATGCCGACAAGCCTCGCCCGCACAGTTCCTGGAGTGAGAGATCCGTCAGTGTGTAGGGACACTTCCAGCTTACAGGTGTTGAAGGACTCTCAGTTGAGCAGCAGTATGAGGGTCGTGTGTGTGTGTGTGTGTGTGTGTGTGTGTGTGTGTGTGTGTGTGTGTGTGTGTGTGTGTGTGTGTGGTTCTTGGCGGGTTGTGTAGGCATCGCCATAACAGCAGCTGTTGCAGACGAGGAGTCACAATAACGTGACTGAAAAATGTTGACCAAACTACACACTAGAAATTGAAGCGACGACGACGTTTCGGTCCGGTCTGGACCACTATCAAGTCAATTGTGTCGATTTAGACCATTATCACAATCGACTTGATAAAGGTCCAGGACGGACCGAAACGTCGTCGTCTCTTCAATTTCTAGTGTTTGTTTTGGTCAACAGCTGTTGTCTGCGGTGGCAGGTGGAAGTGCTGGAATTGTTGTCAACATGCGCAATCTAAGCATTTTAATATGAGAAGCTGTTTTGGGAATACGGACAGAAATGGTGGGGCACGTTTTCTGTCACCTAATACCTCTGTTCACCTAGCAGTATATAGGTATCTAGGAGTTAGCTTGTTGTAGGGCTGCGGTTGCATCCTGGGAAGATACAGTAGTCCCCCCCTTAGGTTGGGGGGGGGGCTCGATATAAGCCTAATATGTATGTACATTGGCTGCCTGTCTCCCGACTGTAAATTATATACACAGGCTACCTGTCCCCGTCAAAATTAATGATTATTATGATATTAATCTCCACATTTTTTTTAATTATACCTGAAACGCACTGCGTAATTGTGGCTTTATGTATTGTACTTATGTATCTTCTACTGTTCATGTACCATATGCACGTACACTCGTATATTATTATTATTATTATTATTATTATTATTATTATTATTATTATTATTATTATTATTATTATATGGCCAAAGCTGGTACATGCTAGTGAGAGATCTTATGAAAGCTAAATACATCATTTTAGCTACTGTAACATTTGCGCCATATTGAGGACTGCTCTACTGCATTTTAGAGTCTTATGTCTGCTTATATACTGTTGATGCAATTGTTTAATCATCGTGCGAATATTGTGTTACGGTAATCGCCTGCTTAAGCAGTAGAGCCCGCCTGTTCCCTCTACCGTCAATTCACCGACGTATCTGCATGCTTCAACAATAAGGTCAACAACAATACGTGCTCAAAACGTATTGGGTGTCTAGACACACGCCCTCCTCCCTCCACCTTATAGTACCCGATACACCTGTGGCCAGATTCACGAAGCAGTTACGCAAGTGCTCACGAACTTGTACATCTTTCTTCAATCTTTGACGGCTTTGGTTACATTTATTAAACAGTTTACAAGCATGAAAACTTGCCAATCAACTGTTGTTATTATTATAAACAGCCTCCTGGTGCTTTGCAGCTCATTAACTGTTTATTAATTTTAAACAAAGCCGCCAAAGATTGAGCAAAGATGGACAGGTTCGTAAGTGCTTGCGTAACTGCTTCGTGAATCTGGCCCCTGGACACTGCTGTCTGGGTAGGGACCCAAACGCCACTCGCAGGTCGATCAGACGCTATCTACTTGTTTGTATAAAGTCATTGCACCCCTTTTTCATTAATGTAAAAACTCACCTCTATTTATATTTCTCTTCATAATTTTGTGTAAAGCCAAGGTTTAAGGGCTTTGTTTTTCATTAAGTATTACTTATCATTTTTTGTGTTATTAAAGTATTTTAAAGTAATTTTTGTTATATTAAATGTTTGAAGGTTTTTATTCTTTGTTTTTTTCCTCGCAGCTCTCACACCGTAAATGTATCAAGCAGTTTTGTTTTAATTTGTTTTCTCTTTTTTTTTGTATTAATGTGGGATTGGCACAACACGAGCCAGAATAGCCACGGCTCTGTTACAGATTCTCGTCACAATTGCATGGTAACATCATAGTGAGACCTGTTATGAACTCGTTAACTTTGTGCAGCGTGTTTGGATGTAAAGTTTGCCTATTGATTTTTACCTACGATTTCCAAGCTTTGGTCGAGAGTGTGATGATGGAATCCATTAACAAAGTTTTACTAATAATATTTACCTTCAGTCACTCTCTCTTGTTGCAGCAAGCGAGGCTTGAGAATGTTTCAACATAGAGGTAGGTGTCCTATGTGTCTGAAGATATAACCTGGATATACTCTGGATATACTTCAGCACCATCGACATTCACCAGTATATATGGTGTAACACTCGATGAGTCTAGTTCCAACACAAGTCGCTATACTCTCGCTACAGAGCAGACAGTTTATTCTGGCCGGACGGAAGCTACCCGTTCTCACTGGGCATTCGAGCTTTCCCATCCCGTTTTCTTTCGAGCTCTACGCTCTCGTCCTCCTTCGAACTCTCTACCTCCGTTCTCGCACAAGCTCCCCGTCCACGCCTCCGGCCTACCTGACTGGCATCTCCGTCTCAACCCACCATGACGCGTCAAACCATTTCTAACATCCGTCTGCTATAACTAAGACTGTACTAAATAAACATCAACAACCACCATACTCTTTGAATGTGGACGCCCCAAAACCGCACACGTTACAAGAGCTTACCTAGTGAAGGAGTGTGCGCTGACCTGCAGGTGTAAGGAGGCTCCACGACCCGGCTAGCCAGCTCAACCACTCCTCACCCGTAGTTGTTGGACCTTGCCGTGGCTGGTGGGCCTTGCCTTGGCTGGTGGCCCTTGCCGTGGTTGGTGGACCTTGCCGTGGTTGGTGGACCTTGCCGTGGTTGGTGGACCTTGCCGTGGTTGGTGGACCTTGCCGTGGTTGGTGGACCTTGCCGTGTCATCCCGTCAACACACCACCACCTCAAGTGTTTCTGTAGTGGGTAAAGTGTGGCATCGCCTCCTTTCAGCTGTGGGTACAGTTACTTTACCTAAGAACGGCCCCGTTTGTTGTCATTGTTTCTTATTCTCTCTGATCCCTTTGAACTCTCGTGGGGGTTTTCCAAGGTCTTCATTTCTTAAACAACTCATATCCATTCTACGAACAGTGGTGGAATAGGTTTGAGAGGCGCACAATGAGCTCAGGAATCTGATCCCTCTCACTGAAAAGTCATCTCTTAAAATATTGCTCTTTAAGAAGTATTAACTCTTAATTTATAGTGTGTCACATTTGTGTTCTTGCGTATTATCCTCCACGCTATATAGAAGTTATGTGGTGAATGCGAAGAACTGCTTAAGAAGTATTCTTGTGATTATGAATGTGTAGATCAAGCAATGTTTCCAGCACACTGGACTCTGAGGCTGCCACCCGCGCGCCGCTGCTCCCTTGGCAGCTCTGAGGGCGGCGGCGTGTGGCGGCCAGTGGTGGTGCTGACGAGCACCTTGGTGCAGAGGGGCGGCGACAGCTGATGTTGGCGGATTTGGAATTTTTTGAGTGGCGGGTTCGGAATTTAAAGTCCTGCCCATACTTCCTGGAGAGCTATTAGACGCACGCTCCTTTATTTCCACGGCGTTCTCTTAAAGGGGATTATGGCTGTCCCACTTACTCGTCTGCCTCTCCTTCGACTCTCAGTCGCTGCACCTTACTGAGTTACGCCTCAGCTCCGGTACCTGTGGTCCGTGCCCTACCCTGAGCCTGTGTGGGGGAACCCCGCGTCCAGCTGTCTCTTCAACTCGGTTGTTACACGTCCATATTTTCCATGACATGTCCCTGGATCCAGGTGTCAAAATTTGCATACAGAAATTTTTTTTTAGAAATTCTCCAAAAGTCTTGAAATCCAGCTTCCATCACTTACAATATATATATATATATATATATATATATATATATATATATATATATATATATATATATATGTCGTACCTAGTAGCCAGAACGCACTTCTCAGCCTACTATGCAAGGCCCAATTTGCCTAATAAGCCAAGTTTTCATGAATTAATGTTTTTTTCGACTACCTAACCTACCTAACCTAACCTAACCTAACTTTTTCGGCTACCTAACCTAACCTAACCTATAAAGATAGGTTAGGTTAGGTTAGGTAGGGTTGGTTAGGTTCGGTCATATATCTACGTTAATTTTAACTCCAATAAAATAAAATTGACCTCATACATAATGAAATGGGTAGCTTTATCATTTCATAAGAAAAAAATTAGAGAAAATATATTCATTCAGTAAAACTTGGCTTATTAGGCAAATCGGGCCTTGCATAGTAGGCTGAGAAGTGAGTTCTGGCTACTAGGTACGACATATATATATATATATATATATATATATATATATATATATATATATATATATATATATATATATATATATATATATATATATATATAAATGCAGAAAGTTATATACAATTTAATTAAATAATATGTTAACTAAATAATGGTATTTTAATTTGGTAGGGAATACGTTTTATAGGGAAATGAAGGCTTACCTTGCTTCTTACACGCCACTGCTCACATACACATAGTACTGTCTATCAGGCACTGCGAAGCTTAGACCTGTTGGCTTCAGTTGGGACATTATATCAGCGGGCTCTTAGCTGTCAAGCTGGGTGTGGACACCGTAATGGACCCGTCCTGTAGACACGGAAATGGACCCGTCCTGTCTATACCGAAGTTTACCCGTCCTGTGCACACCGTAATGGACCAGTCCTGTGTACACCGCGTAGTATATCAACCAGTCCTGTGTACACCGCGTAGTATATCAACCAGTCCTGTGTACACCGCGTAGTATATCAACCAGTCCTGTGTACACCGCGTAGTATATCAACCAGTCCTGTGTACACCGCGTAGTATATCAACCAGTCCTGTGTACACCGCGTAGTATATCAACCAGTCCTGTGTACACCGCGTAGTATATCAACCAGTCCTGTGTACACCGCGTAGTATATCAACCAGTCCTGTGTACACCGCGTAGTATATCAACCAGTCCTGTGTTTAAAATGATCGACCAGTCATGGGCGACACTTTACAATGGACTGAGACGCGTATGCCGTTGTCTGGTCTTATCTCTGGTATCTATCACAACGGGTGATTAATAGAGCCAAGATATATTGGCCTTTACAACACTTGCCAGGAAATGACGACCACGCACACACACCCTCCGTGACTAACTGGATTTTTGACCGCCAAACGAGCAAGTTTTGCTCACGTGAAATCCCAGTTTTCTAAGTAGGATTACATTACTATCAAATGAGCTTCCAAGTTCATTTTTAAATTAGTTTTTCAGATTGAGTTACACTTAGGTATTTGAATAACTTTATCAAAGTTAACGTATATTTTCAATACTAATATTTTTTCAGTGGGATTAAGTTTAGGGGAAACCTCGATATACGGTTATCATGTATTATATGTATAAACTGACTACCTGTCCTCCGTCACTGAATTATCAAAGGAAGGCGCTAAGCCGGTCGGTGGGACCAGAACGACGCGACATAAAAGGGTGGAACTAGGACGAGAAGATATACAAGGGGTGGGACTAGAACGACGCGACATAAAAGGGTGGAACTAGGACGAGAAGATATACAAGGGGTGGGACTAGAATGAGGGGACACAGATAACTTACCTTGAGGTTACCTTGAGGTGCTTCCGGGGCTTAGCGTCCCCGCGGCCCGGTCGTCGACCAGGCCTCCTGGTTGCCGGACTGATCAACAGATGGAAGCCTAGCACTCACATTGTCCCCCATAAATACAATGGAAGGAGCTTCTCGAGTGCATGTAATGAACAGAGTGCATTGAGAATGAGACGTCGATTCAACGTCGAGTACAGCTGAAAAATCTAATGCTATTCACTCTATGGTCAGTCAAACCCACATTTCAGTCTTCATTAGCTTAGACAATATGCCGCGTGACTCCTCACTGTTTAGTTTTCAAGCTTTGAGTGGTACCCTTTATGTCGAGGCTCTGCATGGGGATGTCTTCGTCTTTAGAATCAGGAGCGCCAATTAACACCATTAATGTACCATAACCTATTCGTTCTGACTCCCACACACAGCAGTAGGCCAAGCCTTGGGACCTTAACCCACACTAAGCAGGGGCCATATTCACGAACCAGCTACGCAAGCACTTACAAAGCCGTACATCTTTTCTCAATCTTTGGCAGCTTTGTTTACAATTATTAAACAGTTAATTAACTCCGAAGCACCAGGAGGCTGTTTAGAATAATAACAACAGTTGATTGACAAGTTTTCATGCTTGTAAACTGTTTAATAAATGTAATCAAAGCCGTCAAAGATTGAGGAAAGATGTACAGGTTCGTAAGTTCTTGCGTAACTGCTTCGTGAATCTAGCCCCAGGTCTCTTAAATCCACCTCCTCTCTCCCATGTGCCTATCCAATCTATTATTGAAACCTGTTAAGCTGTCTCAATTAATTTAATAATAATTCATTGTGTCGGGGGACAGGCAGCCAGTGTATATATACATGTCAGGCCTTTATCGAGGTCCCCCTAGGTCCAATTACTGACCCTCCCCAAGATGCAATCCCACAACAAGTTGACCAACTCCTGGGTACCTATTTACCGCTAGGTGAACAGTGGTATTAGGTGACAGGAAATTGCGCAACCTGTCCTCAAACCAAGTCCATTCCATGCAGTGGTTGACCCCTAAAGACGCATTCACAGAGTAGACATAGAGGCTGTGTTCAAGAAACTGACGGAAACTTGAACTCCATGAACTGTTTCAACACGATGCATGACAACGAATTGGAAGAAAGGGTTCATTGCATCACACAGCCCACACACACACGCACACACACACACACACACACACACACACACACACACACACACACACACACACACACACACACACACACACACACACACACACACACACACACACACACACACTACAATATCGCGGTCCTCGTTTAGAACGAATACATTAATAATGGCCACGATAAGATCGCCTCTAATGACGTATTGGGCTCTAAGGTTCATATCATCAACACAATTTACAGGTGAGGAAGTTGTGTGAGAGGGGGTGAGGGAGGGACCCACTGACACCCTGCTTCATGACACACACCCTGCTTCATGACACACACCCTGCTTCATGACACACACCCTGCTTCATGACACACCCTGCTTCATGACACACACCCTGCTTCATGACACACCCTGCTTCATGACACACACCCTGCTTCATGACACACACCCTGCTTCATGACACACCCTGCTTCATGACACACACCCTGCTTCATGACACACCCTGCTTCATGACACACACCCTGCTTCATGACACACCCTGCTTCATGACACACCCTGCTTCATGACACACCCTGCTTCATGACACACACCCTGCTTCATGACACACACCCTGCTTCATGACACACACCCTGCTTCACGACACACACCCTGCTTCACGACACACACCCTGCTTCATGACACACACCCTGCTTCACGACACACACCCTGCTTCATGACACACACCCTGCTTCATGACACACACCCTGCTTCACGACACACACCCAGCTTCATGACACACACCCTGCTTCACGACACACACCCTGCTTCATGACACACACCCTGCTTCATGACACACACCCTGCTTCATGACACACACCCTGCTTCATGACACACACCCTGCTTCACGACACACACCCTGCTTCATGACACACACCCTGCTTCACGACACTCACCCTGTTTCATGACACACACCCTGCTTCATGACACACACCCTGCTTCATGACACACACCCTGCTTCATGACACACACCCTGCTTCACGACACACACCCTGCTTCATGACACACACCCTGCTTCACGACACACACCCTGCTTCACGACACACACCCTGCTTCATGACACACCCTGCTTCACGACACACACCCTGCTTCACGACACACACCCTGCTTCATGACACACCCTGCTTCACGACACACACCCTGCTTCACGACACATACCCTGCTTCATGACACACCCTGCTTCACGACACACACCCTGCTTCATGACACACACACCCTGCTTCACGACACACACCCTGCTTTATGACACACACCCTGCTTCACGACACACACCCTGCTTCATGACACACACCCTGCTTCATGACACACACCCTGCTTCATGACACACCCTACTTGATGACACATACCTTTCACATCACCCGCGTGTGCGCGTCGAAGTATTTTTGACCATATCCTATATAAATATTCACTGAGGACCCCCAAAGTTTATAGACAGTGTCAGAGTCGCTTCATCTCTGGACCATATTATATAATATTGAGATTGTTTACTTATTCACATCTTTGCTTGCTTGTGACATAAATAAAAACATATTTCAAATACTAAAGTTTGTGGATATCCCCATGAGATATGAAGTTTACTGTAATTATACACAAACTTTATACGGAGCCACAACTATATAAGAGAGACTGTGTGTGTGTGTGTTTGTTTATCCAAGGTTGGACTAGCCTCACCCAACTTTGCAGGGGGAATGGTCTAGGGTGCGGGGAAGACATAGGCTGATCGGAGTCAGCTCAAGTTAAATGCTTTAAGAAATATTTGTATTTAAAGACCCCAAAGGCGGTTTTCATGGAGTGGAGTGTGAAATATGTAATGTAATTCCCACAGGGGGTTTTATGATCAAAATAATACATTTTGTGAGAGAGCCATTGAGCTCAAAGTGGGAGGAAGTTGGTAAGTGGAGGGTGAAGGGGAAGGACGAGGGGAGGGACCAAGGGGAAGGGGAAATGGTGATACAAGGGGGGAAGAGGGAGAAAGGGTGGAGGAGAGGAGAAGGGAATGGGCGAGAAAGAGGGAGGGGCGGGAAAAGGGGAGGGAAAAAGGGAGAGAATTTGGGGATGTGGGGAGAGAGGAAAGAAGGGGGGGGGGGGTGGAGGGAGAGACAGACTACCCCGGGCATCTCCGGGTAACCCTTCTACTACTGAAGGGTTACCCCTGAAGGTAACACAATGGTATGCATTACCATTGAAAAGCGTAACAGTAAACAGTTTGAACCCCGTAGCCTAGTCTGCTCTCATTAACTGTCTGGGGTCTCTCCTGCATGTCAGCCTCACTAGAGCTACGGAATAATTAATGTCAAATATTAATTTATCAGAGGATCGTCTTCTAATAGTTAATTTGCGATAATTAAGGAGTCATTGTTTGGTGCGTCATGTGACGTCAGACAAACAAGTGCCTGCCAGCTGGACGGTGTTATTGTTCCTTTACTCTAGTTCTCTTTACTCCTCTCTCTCTAACTCACTATTCGAGAATTGGTGATAGAAAGGCATAAACGTAAGAGAAAATAACAAAGTAAACCAGTTTTTGGGATTCTGCTTTTTTTCTATGTATTATAACAGAGGCACATTCACATTGATACAGTAACCCTGAGATATACGAAAGGTTTGTGGCATGGGGCGGTAATTGCGATCCCTATGTCGCAGGGTGGTAGGTCAGTCAGGGGCAAGTACTCAAACACAACTAGCAAACAGTGGATGGACTGATTTCACAATGTCAGCGACAGGAGTAGCTAATGGCTACTCCAGGGGTATCTCTATGTCTCGCAGCTATCAGAACTATAACAAACTCTGTCTTCAGACAACACACAGCCCCTCTGTTAAGGTCCCTCAACATGCTAAGCATACTCACTCCACACATTCTCATGTGCTATTTACATGTACAAAACCTTGTTCCTAAATGCTAATCTTGATTTGAAACTTTTACTTGATAATTGTACTAGAACACATAACCACCACACCAGAAATAAATATATCTTTGATATCCCCAGAGTCAAAACTAAATCTGTGCAAACACTCCATGTAAATAAAAGGACCTAGTCTTTGGAACTCGCTCCCTGATGAATTAAAAAATTGTCCAACCTATGCCTTATTTAAAAGTAAAACTAAAATATACCTTAGGTGATATTGGTACGCCTGACAGCTGAGTGGATAGCGCTTCGGATTCGTAGTCCTAAGGTTCTGGGTTCGATCCCCGGTGGAGGTGGAAACAAATGGGCAAAATGTTTCTTTCGCCCTGATGGCCCTGTTACCTAGCAGTAAATAGGTACCTGGGAGACAGACAGCTGCTACGGGCTGCTTCCTGGGGATGTGTAACAAAAAGCAGGCCTGGTTGAGGACCGGGCCGCGGGGACGCTAAGCCCCGAAACCATCTCAAGATAACCTCAAGATAGATCCGTAATTTCAAACCTCATAGTTTCCTACCTTGTGCTTCAAGCTCACACTTGTGTGAGTTTTTTTTTTATAAAACCTTGTAATTTTTATATAAAACCTTGCTACAATGTACCTTTTCATCTTACCTGATATATTAGATTAAGGACCTGCCCGAAACGCTATGCGTGTCTTTGCAAGAATTTACAAATACCAAACTTATGTAATCTCACCAACCCATTGTACCTTCTTGTGAATAAATTATTATTATTATTATTATTATTAGCTATCAGGTGCACACTCATCTATACTAGAATTAGACATAAAATGAACTTGATTGCCGGCAAGCGAGTTTTGCCTGAGCGCCATCTATCCCCACCAAAAGTGACTCCATGGCGGGGTTCCAAAGTTACCAATTGTTACTTTCATAAACCAGAGTCCCCTCCCCGCCCTTTTATAATAGTTTCCGTTCTTATTGCTCACATTTGTGTTCCGTGGCCAAGCAACAGTAAGCCTCGCGACCCTCACAGTGGCACGGGGGTTCCTGGCGCTCTAAACACTGGAAGTTTACACACTCTGCAGCGGAAATTTGTGGTGTGCAACGTGTCACCTTCGGTGAGATACCACGGCGTACATCCTGACGATGACGTGGACATTAGCGATGTAAAGTGATGATCAAGTGTAGATCATCAGTTGACAACATTGCCACAACCTAGGTACTGTAATGATCGCTTTGAGAGCGTTGGATTACCAAGTGTCTTCCCAAGTCTCTTGTTCATAGCTTATATGCAGGCGAGGAGTTACAATAACGTGACTGAAGTCTGTTGACCAGACCACACACTAGAAGGTGAAGGGACGACGACGTTTCGGTCCGTCCTGGACCATTCTCAAGTCGATTGAGAATGGTCCAGGACGGACCGAAACGTCGTCGTCCCTTCACCTTCTAGTGTGTGATCTGGTCATCATAGCTTATGTTCGTTAGCTCATGTTTGTAAACTAAAGATGGTGACTTGTCTGCAGTTTTTTTTGAGACAGTGATAAACAAGCAGGCGGGGACACGAGTCGAAGAAATATAAGGAAATACCCGTCCTCGTACGGGTGGCCAGCAAATGGAATACACAGAGGACAGAGGTTGTGGAAGCCACCTGCAACATAACTTCAGGAACAGATTCAACAAATATCTTAAGCGTCAGAATAGCTAAACTGTAACGAAACATACAACAAAGTAAGCGGGACACGCAAAGCTAGACCTCGGTGTCTCGGAGTCACTGAAGGGTCGACAGAAAACTGTTAAGAAGGCAGTAGAGGTTGGGCCACTCGTCCCAGCTAGTCCAAAGGGCGTCCAAAGGTCCTCGTCGGGTGTTATCAGAGCGGTATTGATTTGTTTTGAATAAAAAAATATATAACACTTTGGACTAGGGGGGGTCACTTTGAACACAGGACTAGGGGTCTCATGCAGCCCGTCCTCATAAACAAAGGTCAAAGTCCATTCCATGCACCCACCAAACCCCAGCTGTTTATGAATGAAAAACGGTTTCCACACGACTCACAACTGATGACGTCCAAACACTTCCGGAACAAGTGCTTCACTGACGTTGTGGTTCGAACCAGAACGCTGTAAATGTTCGCCCACGTACTCCATTACAAATAATTGCCAACAACCTTAACATCTAACGTAACAAATGCCTAAATATGCACAGTAACCTAATACATAACAATATTTAATTTAAATTTGAGAATTCCAATTTTGAATTAACAGTATGTTAAAATTGATGAATGCCTCTTAGGGGTTGACCGCAATATGGAATGGTGGTGGTCTGAGGACAGTTGCTCATTGAACCCCGTTAAACTGCTTCATCTGAACCCCATGAGCGAGGCTGAACCCCCCCCCCCTCCCTCCCTTGGGTATGAGTAGATTTGATTTGTATTGATTAGAGGGAGTAAAACTCCTCGGTTCCCATCTCCCACACTTTAGTTTGTCCGTCCTCACCTCTCTTCCCGCTCTCCTGTCCACCTTTCCTCCCCCCCCCCCCTCCTCCTCTTGCACGTTCCACTCTCCTCTCGCTCAATCTCGCCACCTTTCTCCCCCCCCCCCCACGCTTACAATTCTACCTCCTCTCTCCCCTAAGATCCAATTTTCTTCTCCCCTCTTCAACCATCTCCTCACAATTGACATGTCTGAGTTTGAATCCCGGGCAGGTCAGAAATGGTTGGGCACGTTTCCCTTCATCAAATGTCTCTGTTCACCAGCAGTTTAAATACCTTCTGGGCGTTACACTATTGTGGGACTGTGTCCTGGGTGGTCAGTAGTTCGACTGTTGGCGGACCTCGGTAATAGCCTAATTTGTATACATAGGCTGCCTGTCCCCAACAAAATAATTATTTTAAATTATTCCTCCTCTTCCCCCGGCTCTCCGATTTCTTTTATTAATGAGGTACATCTGCATTTGTGCAGCTATCCTAGACTATGTGAATGGGAGTACAGTGTGTCAAAAAGCTAATTACGTGATGCTAACAAATCCCCATCTCACAGGATGGTTAGTCATACAGAGGTATGTGATAAGTAGTCTGCATTGGCAGTCTCAAGAGTACATTATGAGGATATCGTGAACACAAAAGTGAATAAGGTAGCAGTGATACTAAGTCACCATCTCGCAGGATGTTAGTTAGTTTAGGTCATTAATTATGCACCCCATACTCATTTTGTGGGCGGTAGTGGAAAGGGTTACAGAGGCACATAATGGGCTCAGGGATTGAACCCCACAATTCATTTCGCAGGATGGTTAGTCATACAGGGCCATATGTTCAGTAGCCTGCACTAGCAAATTTTGAGGGCACTATGAGGATATCTTCAAGAACAAGAGAGTGAATAAAGTAATCTCAAAGCTCCAGGTCATGCCAACTGGTCTGAAAGGCCTAATAACTGGGCATTCGGTGATGTAGTGTGGGAGATCATGCCGCAGTTCCTGCTCACAGAGTTTGCACCTGGGGTGCTCAGGATTGGGAGATCCGTCACCTGTAGCCACAGGTAATGGTAACCCAACCTGATCCTGGCAACCACTGTGTCGCACAGTCTGGACAGTCTGGTGGACGTTTTGTGCTGCCCATAGATATAGGTTTCAGATCTGAACAAATCATAGCTTTTTATACTAAAGCTTTCAGGTCGTTGGAAGTCGGTAATTTCTTTCCTATCAGACCTGAGTGTTTGGAAAAATAGTTTTGACAGCAGAGATGGAGATGCCTAGATATAATTCAACTTCATCTTTGCAGCCAAATTAGTGTGTAACAATGTCTCTCATTATGATGGGTCGAAAAATATTATGAACTTGTAAATAAGTCTACGGACGATGCAGCCAGCATTTCAGATTATGAACCTAGCACCGAAAGATGGGGAAGGGGGATGGTTACATGCCGATATTAGTGTGACATGGAAGCTGATCCCGACAGTCCTATGACACTCCACATGATTCATGTGTGAAAGTTTAGTGAGGTTACCCCTAAGCGTCTGGCCTATTATTATTATTATTATTATTATTTATTATTATTATTTATTATTATTATTATTATTATTGTAGCGAGTACAAACAATATACTCACTCCAACTTCTCATTAGCTTAATGGCTTAACTAATTGGCACTAATTGCAGAAGCTATTATCTCTTCCCTAATTACAGGTAACAGTTCTTCCATCCTCCTATCCTAGTGGAGGAAGCCGAGTATATTATATTCACCGAATATAAGCAAACATAAAGTGAATAGCCAACAGTACAATTTCCAGTCAAGAATGTAGCACTGGGCGTAGGCAGTTCTAAACGTCTCAAAGACGCTACAGCTTCGACACAGAACAGACAGCGGACCGCATCGAGCTACAACGCTCTCCCACATAGAGCTCCGCAACTCCGGCCACTCTCGGCTCTGCTCTGCTCCAAGCAGTGTCGTAGACGTCTCAACGTCTACGACACTGCTGTATCCAAGACTACTAAATAAATATGAAAACCCACTAAACACCGTGTATCTAATCTACCCAATAACGTGACATAATCGTACGTTACATTATTATTATTATTATTATTATTATTATTATGGGTCATTATCAGTCTCCACCCGAGTCTCGTCACTTTCATAATCCTTCCCTTGCTCACATATAGTCCTTTCAGCCTTTCCTCTCCTCTCTTAAGTCTTGCTCCTATCAATTTCCAAGTTGACTGGGCATCTGAATTCCTTCTTCGTTTCCTAGACGTTAACACACCAAATTTACCCGAGCCCCTCCAAATCTAGTGGCCTTGGAGATAGGAAAAGGCAGTTTGGCAAAGGTCTCTTATACACTCATAATTTGGGTTCCCATGGTACTCCCCGAGCACACGCACTACCCACTGGTCCATGATGTGCTTAGTGTCACACACAGAAGTTATACTGATTTTTACTGAGTTTGAAAGGCGCGAGTCGCTGTTACCCACAATATGGCCTTATTTTGCCGTAGTTACGAAACGTTACTGTAATTTCATTGTGGAAATTGTAGATGCTAAAAAAATAATGGGGAGGAGGAAGAATATCAACTCGTTAGATAATTCAGACTACATAGGATCGGGGAGACACCTTAATTCACCCAACCCCTTCCCCACACGCCTAGCTATCCGCAACGGGACGGTCAGACTCTTCATGTTCTAATATTTTTTTCAGAGTGTAGGTATGGAGCGGATTGTGGCGTTGGTGGTGATGGCGGCGAACTGCTGGGCGCTAAGTCCTAGCAAAACTCGTCAGGTTACGTGAGTACACGTTGTCACAAGGTTCTTAACTAGTCTCACTTTCCCTATCTTAACTTGCGTCCAGTGGCCCTTCCTCTCCCGTTCCCACCCCCGGCCCTTCCTTCCCTCCCCAACTCGTCCATTCCCTGTCCCTTCCTTCCCTGGCGCCGGCCCTTCCTTCCCTGGCGCCGGCCCTTTCTTCGGGGAAAGTGGTGTTAAAATAGTTGTATTCCAGTACTTTCCATTTAGTGTTGACGTAAAGTTAGGTCGCAGCTAATTTGTTAACATTTCTATACTTTTCAGAGCTATGGGATCGTATTACACGCACACATCCGGGAATGGTTCTGAGCCAGATGTGACACACGCTTCCTGGGAAGATCTTGATCTAGGGACTTGTGGGTGCAGGCGTCCAGACGCCTGCGACCGCCATGTCCATGTGACTCTCGCGGTTCTCCAGTCTGTAAGTGTCCTCGCTTGCTTTGCCATTACTAGATACCCAGGTAATGTTTATTTTTGTTTACTTGTAAATGTATTCTGCAACCACTTTGTTGGGAGGAAAAGTGAGTATTTGTCCACATCAGCCTTGTTTAAACAGTTGATGATTTTATAGCCTCTTGTATGAAGCGAAACCGTCGCTCTGCCGTCCAGTCAAAGTGGTAGGTCTTATTTGCATGGAGTGTTTGCACAAATTTAGTCTCATTCTAGGAATATTATATATATTTCTGGTGTAGTGCTCATGGGTTCCATTATATCAATGAAGAGTTTTGGATCAGGATTATTTATATACAAGAAGTAATTAATTATCTAAAGCCGGCGCCAAGCCGGGAAGGCTATGTAGCACCATCAAATGCGCGGAATAATCATAGGGCGCTAAATATCACTAAGGACGCCAATATAAGAACAGAAATGCATAAGGCAAACGATATCAAAGGTATCAGTCACCAAGAATTCTATCGAGGGACAAGTGACCACAAAGGACGGTCGGGAAGCAAGACACGTTCCTCCTGGAAGGCAGGACATTCGACAAGGATATGCAGGACCATAAGAGGGACATTGCAGTTTGGACGAGGAGCAGCAGAGCAGCGCTCCAGTGAATTAAACGTGTATGGCCAATACGCAACCTCACCAGAGCCACTTCCCACCGCCGGTTACGGTGGTAGGAGGAAGGCCACAGGGACACGCTCCTGAAAAAAGCACGCACTTTGTCACCAGTAACATAAGACCAACAACCCTGCCAACGGGCAAGGACGGAGGAATGAATAACTAGGTAAAAGTCGGAATAAAAGGAGAGAGAACATCAACAGAGAACAATGAAGAAACAAAGACAAAGAACACAGCATACTAAAGATCAGGATAAGTGAAATCGGGGTTAGGGGGCATGGGTAAATTTAGCAAGGACGATGGAGTTATTAAGGGAGCGGGAGAATGGACCAGCGGCGGGCGGACAAGGTCCGGTACAGGAGCCAGTGGAGAGGGGCGGTCAAGGGAAGCATGACAACCTGGATGTGTCACAACGGCAAGATTGCCGATATTCTGGAGAGATATAAGAATATTGCACCAAGATTGTAACCTTTTGTTAAATTGTCTGAATGTCTATTGCAAATTGTTTATATTCCTAGTCATAAAAGTATTTGTGTGTACGTCTGGTAACATTACATGTGTAAAGGAAGAAATGCATGTTTATCACTCGGAATGTTCGGTAATATGTTTGAGAGGTGCGTGTATATATGTCTGAACACGTTGTACTGAACGGGGTGAGAATAACTTGAGCTACCTCATCCCTTTTGTGTGTGTATTACCTCAATAAACTTATTTCAATTTCAAGGGAAGCAGGGGGAGGGCCCCCCTCCCCCGGAAACAGGTGCTGAGCGAACCTCAGCAAGAGCAGCAACTGAGTGAGAATCGAGGGCGAAAGGAACCTCAACAGCTGGGACAGGGGGCTCAACCACCGAAATGGGATTGGGCTGCTGTGATAGTCGAAGGTGGAGAGAGGGGCAAGAAAGCGATGCATTTTTACCCGCCGGGGAGGAAAGAAAGGAGCCAGGCTTACGTGTCTGACTTAGAGACAGGTGTGCCAGCAACAACGCACTGGGCGACAGCCTCTGTTGTCTCAAAAACAAAAAAAAAACAAAAAAAAGAACGGGAGCGAACAACATGAAGATTGCTGGGAGGATAATGGACAACAGCCTGGACAGAAAGGCGGCGTGGAGGGCCAAGAGGCAGGGGAGGAGGGCTGGGAAGGATGATTGGGGGGTGGGGGGGGAGATGGAAATGAAGTTAAGCGAGTAGCAAGGAGCAGCAAGCATTACCCTCCTCCCGAGGGAGGGAATGTAATCGGGAGGATCAAAGGAGTAGCTTGGTCTGGGCCCAATATGGCGGGGGGCTACAGAGCCCGATCTTCCATCACAGTTCAACTGGAGGGGAGGAACCTGGTCGCCCATCCCACGAGCCTGGGTTAAAGAATTAAATTTCCATGCACGCATCATTTCTAATAGTCTGGAGCCTGGAACCAAGGGATACCACCTACCAGGGAAGCCGAGCGTGGGTCAGTGCAGGAAGGGGTGCGTCAACCCCAGCGGTGCTCCCCCTTTTTAACAGGGGTCCTACTGCTTCTTCCGTTCTCCTACACTGGTGCAAAGACCTCGTTCTCCCTTTCTCTCCCCAGCCTGGACACCCAACCATCCACTTAGGGCAGCCCCTCATGGGCGACCCCTCCTGTGGGTGGGTTTGCTGTTTTGGTCGCCAGGTGGTGTGGGCGTCATTGCCCTACCAGTTTTGTTGCCTTCCTGGCTGCGTTGACGTGGCAGTTCTGACATGGGGGGCCATCTTCCTCCTGTTCAGCGTGTGAACTCCGTGGGCCTGGAGTTCACTTGTAAGGCTGATTATCCGACCATCGAGATGGTGATGTGTGACATGCTTCGTGTCCCGGTGGAAGCTGTTTACGGTGTGGAGCTAGTTTCGGCCCATCGGGTTGTTATTAAGTTCGTGGGGGAGGACGAGTACCGGGACTTCCTCCGTCGGTACGGGGGGCGTACGTTGCCGTTGCCAGACGATGCCGGCTCTGTGGCGATTTCGGACCGCAGTGGTGCCCTGACTTATGTCAGTATCCATGGTGCGCCCCTGGAATTCCCTGATGATGACCTCCGGCGTTACTTCGGGGGGTTTGGTACTGTTGTCAGCGTGCGGGTGAACACGCTCTCCTCGGGGCGGTATGCTGGGAGGCGTACAAACATTCGCACGTTGGGGATGCGCCTGCGGTCGGATATACCTTCTTCTGTCCGGCTTATGGGGTACTACGTCCGGGTGTATTATGCCCGGCAGCCTCGTACCTGTTTCCGGTGTGGCCTGTTGGGGCATCAGGCTGCCGGGTGCTCTGAGGCCCCTGCTGCTCCTGTCAACTTGTTCCGCGACGAGGATTTCCCGCCGCTCCCTCTGGAGGCTGTCTCCGGTGATGTTGATGAGGTGGTGCGCGTCCCGTCTGCTGCTGCTGCTTCCCCGGCGGCGCCTGCCGTTCCTCCGGTTGTTGCTGTCCCTCCTCCGGTTCTTGAGGTACCGTCGGTTGGTCTGCCTGATCCTGTTGCTGTCCCGGCTGCTCCCGTGGGCCTTCCCTGTGTGACGTCGCTGTCTTCTTCCTCGTCTTCTGATGCTGCGCCTGGCCCTGTGTCCGTGACTCGGGTCCCGGATGTGCTTGGTGCTGGGGTGGCTGCGGAGCCTCCTGCTGTGTGTGGCCCGGTTCCCCCTGTGGTAGAGGCTGCTGCCGTCCTGGCGTCGGTTCCTTCGGCTCGTGGTACCCGTGTTTCTGGGTCACTTACCGGCTCGGACGATATCCGGCCGGTGCCCAAACGTTCCCGGCGTTCGTCTTCTTCCTGGGCCGACGTTGGTGACTTCAGTGACTGTGGGGCTTCGGGTGTTGACAGTGTGGATACGGATGCGTCGATGTCTCCGCGGTTCGTGGTGGCGGAGGTCCATGTGCCTGCCGGTGCTGGTGCCTGTGTCTCGGACGTGTCTTCAGTTCTTTCTCCGCCGGGGGACTCTCCACAGTGGGGGGTGGTGGCTTCCACTGCCAGGGATGGTGTGGACTCTGGTGCTGACGTTACGGAAGGATGCGCGCCGTCCGGGTTCCCTGCTGTCGTCTGGTGGTGTGCCCGGGGCCGCGGGTACCCCTGTGGTGCGGGTGCGCGTTGGGGCCCTGGGGGACGTGTTGCCGGCGTCTGTGATGCCACCGGGTCACTGGTCGAAGATTGCCGAGTTACTGCTGTCTGACGGACCGGAGTGCTTTCGTGGGGGGGCAAGTTCCCTTCCTGTGGGGGCGAGTGGCGACTTCTCGCCTCATGAGTTCTACCATCTGGGTCCCCAGTTTGCAGGTGTTTGTTGCCCCGGTTCCGGATGTTATGGCGTCCCCGGTGGATGGACGAGACCCTTGGCAATGGGTGCTCTGGGAGGCGTTCAATGTAAGATTCCCGCGGGCCAAGTTCCCGGGCATGTATGTGCTCTGATTTCTTGTGTATTTGCTCTATGACATGCTGTGTGCCCTTCTGGCTGTTTGTTTGCCCTGTTCTGTTATGTGCTTCTGCCTCTCCCTTTGTGCGTAGCTTTGCCGTGTGGCATATTAGTTTCTAGTGCTTGGCGTCACTCGTTTCGCGTTTTGGCTTAGCATTACGCCTTTCCTGGCTTTGCGTTTCACCCTTCACGGGTACGCCGGGGCGCATCCGATCCCACGATCGTCGTCGCCCCTAACTCAACAACAACAACAACAACAACTCCTGTGGGTGGTCCGATGACTCACAAGGACCCTACAGCGGTGCCTCTCAGCACGTACACCACCCAAAGAAGGGCAGGAGAGGGGGCGAAGGCAACCTTCACCGGTCCCAGGGAGGTGTACGTGAGCCCCTCACCACAAGGCGACACCATGGAGGGGTTATATATAAGATTATATACATTGGGTTCAGAGAGTACATAACATTCGTGTTCTTACATTCTTGCAAAGCCACTAACACGCATAGTGTTTCGGGCAGATCCTTAATCTAACTAATAAAAGTGAAAGTATTAATATGTACATCGTAGAAGAATTTGAGCTCAACGTTTTGAAGCCCAAATTAGGAAACTGAGGATGAAATTGGGTACTTTTTGGTCTTTTGAATAAAGCATAAGTTGGAATCTTTTTTTTTTTTTTTTTTTTTTTTTTTTTTTTTATTTATTAGGGAGCGAGTTCCATAGACTCGTCTAATTGTGCTTGCGGGGTTGAGCTCTGGCTCTTTAGTCCCGCCTCTCAACCGTCAATCAACAGGTGTACAGGTTCCTGAGCCTATTGGGATCTATCATATTTACACTTGAAACTGTGTATGGAGTCGGCCTCCACCACATCACTTCCTAATGCATTCCATTTGTCAACCACTCTGAAAAAGTGGTTGACACTGAAAAAGTTCTTTCTAATATCTCTCTGGCTCATTTGGGCACTCAGTTTCCACCCCTGTCCCTTAGTGCGTGTGCCCCTCATGTTAAATACCGTCTTTATCTACCCTATCAATTCCCTTGCGAATCTTGAATGTGGTGACCACGTCCCCCCTAGCTCTTCTGTCTTCCAGCGAAGTGAGGAAGAATTCTCGTAGTCTCTCCTCGTGGCTCATACCTCTCGGCTACGGACTGGGTCCTTTTATTTGCATGGAGTGTTTGCACAGATTTAGTCTGACTGGGGATATCAGAGATTTATTTCTGGTGTGGTGCTCATACCTTACCTTGACCTTACCTTGAGGTGCTTCCGGGGCTTAGCGTCCCCGCGGCCCGGTCGTCGACCAGGCCTCCTGGTTGCCGGACTGATCAACCAGGCTGTTGGACGCGGCTGCTCGCAGCCTGACGTATGAGTCACAGCCTGGTTGATCAGATATCCTTTGGAGGTGCTTATCCAGTTCTCTCTTGAACACTGTGAGGGGTCGGCCAGTTATGTCCCTTATGTGTAGCGGAACCGTGTTGAACAGTCTCGGACCTCTGATGTTGATAGTTCTCTCCGAGTACCTGTTGCACCTCTGTTTTTCAACGGGGGTATTCTGCACATCCTGCCATGTCTTCTGGTCTCATGTGATGTTATTTCTGTGTGCAGGTTTGGGACTAGCCCCTCTAATATTTTCCATGTGTAAATGTACCTCTCCCGCCTGCGATCAAGGAAGTACAGTTTTAGGCTCTTTAGTCGGTCCCAATAGTTTAGATGTTTTACTGAGTGGATTCTAGCAGTAAAGGATCTCTGCACGCTCTCCAGGTCAGCAATTTCTCCAGCTTTGAAAGGTGCTGTCATTGTGCAGCAGTACTCATGGGGTCTATCACGTCTAGCAAGGAAGAGTTTCAGATCAGGATTAGCAGTTAGGAACAAGCATATGAGTGTGTGTGTGTGTGTGTGGAGTGAGTATGTTTAGCATGTTCAGGGATTTAAACAGAGGAGCTGTGTGTTGTGTGAAGACAGTTAATAGTTCTGATAGCAGATTTTTGATGGGTGGTGATTGACTTAAATTAATTTGCAGTAGTTGAAGCCCATGCACAGTTATTGTATGTAAGATAGGGATAGATTATAGTATAATGAGGAGAGAGCAGTGGAGGGGGGAGTGGACATAATGTCTGATTTTAGTGTGTACCAACAGGTTTTGAGACTTTTCTGACTGTTGTATGTGGGTGTCCAAGTATTCAGAACTTTATTAAGTGGAGAAGTGGAAGAAGCATTATACTGCTTTATTAGTGGTTGAGAAGTGGAGGAAGTATTAAATACTAATGTTAAAGTAGGTATTTTGTCGAGTTAAAGGGCAGATAATTGGTAAAATTTTGGAGGTCTTAAAAACTTTTGTCCCAAATTCAAACTTTGATATGTGCAATAATTTATTTGCACGCCTTTTGCAGGACCAAAACCCCTGCACAAATCAAAGGCTGTATTAAAGAATTGTATCTACAAAAATTACTTATAGCAATTAAGAAAATAATTTCACCAATACAATATAAAGCTTATAAAAGTGTACCAATTAAAATATCAATAAAGAACAAGTCTGTAATTGTTTTTGTAATGTATTAAATATTTCCACAGGCTGCAGACTGCCCCTCAGGAATGAGATATTGCTGCAGTGCCCAGGAAATAGATCGGACATTAACTGCGAATAAACCCAGGGAGGGTTATAATGGAACTGAAAGAATGCTACTCGAGAGAGATGCACAGGAAAATAAGCTTGTGATAGATTCCAGGAACAAGGTAAATAATAAAACAAAATGGATGGAGGCAAACACTAAGTACAGAAATAGAGAAAAGGATTATGCAGGGGGAGGTAGTGTTCATGAGGGTCATGTGCAGCTTGTGACTCCCAAAGATCTTTCATCACCCAAGAGACAAAACCGAGAAACTCACGATACTGTACATGCAACCAGCGCTATGGAAAATGTTTACAAAGAAATGCCAAATGTTTCTCCGGATCTTGTTGGAAGTAATGACACTCACAAGAACTTAAAAGATGATAATTACACTTTGGTCACAAAGTATAAATTGGCAACAACTGAGAGCAGTGCACAGCCTTTCATAACTACAGATTCTGGAAGTTTAATCACTGCAACAGAAGGTTCAACAGCTGCTGTTAAACATACTAATGAAAGTGAAGAAGCCAGTATTAAGACTAAGGAAAAATCTCCAGCATCTTGGCCTCTTCCTGGGCCAAGTAAGTTATCAGATAAGTATGGAAAGTCTTGCTTCAACATATTTGCAAATGCTACCTGTATTACTAATCATAATGTTGATATTATTGATAATGAAATTCCTGCAGGATACGATTATCAAACTGTTGAGTTGTTTCCAGAGTTAAATAGGCCAAGGGGCAAATTCTTCGATTTTATGAATTTCTATAGCAAGGGATTTCCTTATTTTGCATTTTACTGGTCCTATATTTTTGCTTTTGTATATGCAGCATGGTATCCTCTTTCTTTCTTTATTTCAGAAAATGGTATTATAAGTATAATAATTAAAGTCTTACTTGTCCAGTTTGCCCCAGATATTGTGAGTCATCCAATATTTTCAGTAGGAGATTTATTTTTGTCTTGGGTGTTTAATAAAATAATTTAAAGGATTTTTTTAATTGTTAATCAAATTAACAATTAATCTATACTGCTAATTAGTTTCCCTCATGACAACCTTGAATCCTTCAATAACTTTCCCTAGCCAATTAAGTTATTTTATATTTTGTGAATTCTTGATTAACTTTTAATTACTACAGTATTAATATGAATAGTGCAATCACCTTTAGGTTTCTTATCTTTGTAATAATTACAACAATCTCTCTCAATTGTTTTCTGTAATTTCAGTATTTAATGCTACTTGCTCTTTGTAGGACCATGAATAAAATCTCTCAAAGATTGTTCCCAAAATTTGGTGTTTCAATGATGTGTGTTGACTACCTATAAGCAGGGTGTACTTTCTTAAAAATTATGCCATTCAGTGTCTGTGTTTCTTCTTGATGCGAGTGATATTGTTGGCCAGGTGGATATGAAATAAGTAATTGTCAAAAGCAAGCAGCACCAAGCCAGGAAGACTACAGTATTTAGTACCGTCTGTAGAGCAGAACGGTCAAAATGTTGTAGATATCATTCAAGATACACAAATAAATAGTGTGATGTAAGAGAAAATCAATTGGAGCAATGAGGTGACTCAAACCAGCAATTGGTGTACTCCCAACTGCACACTTGGGCTGGATAATAGAGGGACAGTCTCACTTCACGTAGGTCAGCGTTCAATCCCAGACTGTCAAAGTGGTTAGACACCATTTGCCTTTTCCCTGTCTCATCCCAAATCCTTATGCCGATCTTTTCCAAGTACTACTTATATATTTGTAATGGTTTGGCATTTTCTCCCGATAGTTCCTTTTCCTTCCCAGCTGCACACCTTACCCCTGTACCACTACATGATAAAATACAACCTGGATTCCACAGAGTCCACAGGAAGTCTGGAGGCCTTTACTGTAGCCAGTCCAAGTTTTACGTATAACTCCATGCACTCTAGTATAAGTAGTTTATCAACAGCATGCTCCAGCTTCAGATACACACACATCATGAGTGATGTTAAAAGCATAAGATTCACCAAGGATTTTATCAAATCATTATAAAGTGACTTTATCATGTGCCAAAGAGACATTTGGGAAAGCAAGATTACTGATCATCCTATGACATGATCACAAGCACAATTAAGACAATAAGATGCAGGTCTGTTAGACTAAATGACCACAAGTTAAGCATGCCTAGCCCATATACAGACTAGCTAGAACCGTTTTCAACCCATTAGAAGGAACTCCAATGTGGTTGGGTTGCCATAAATACACTATTAAACAAAGTATTTATGTACTCATTACCTTACTGACTACCCAAACACCTCTAACTTTCAATTTGCATACAAAACTAGTTACGCAACGATGCTTTATAGTTTCACAGTGGCAGAAACTATTCAGTACCATAACTCACAAGGTAGCTGTTCTCTCTGGATGCTTCCAAACCTTTAACAAAGTTGAACATGTCAAACGTTTCAGAAAATTACTTGGTAAAAAAGTACCAGTATATCCTATAATTGTTAGATATTTATACATTTTTTATCGGGTATGCAAATTAGCTGTGAAATAAAGTAACATACTCTGAAAATTTATCTTAAAAAAAATGGGATCAAACAACTTGGTCCAATTGTTTGCTATCTATCTTGATCCACTGTTAAGAGTATAGCCAGTAAACTTGGCTGTTGCTATAAAGCACCAGGCCAATGTTTTGTTGTGCTGCTGATCTAATTACATCTCTGCATCGAGCAAAGAGGCGCTGGAAAATTTGATAGGTTGTATTCAGCACTCTTTCACATTTCTAACGTTCAGACCTGCAAAATGTGCTGTGGTTGCTTTTAACTCGCAGAACTCATTTTATCCAGTTCTCAATCTATAATTACTAGGCAGAGATATTCCAGTAAAGTATTCTGAAAAGCATCTGGGGCATATTAAATCCTCAAAGGGCCCACTTGTCAAATTTTGTGGTGTAACTGGAGACCAACTGTTGAAGAGGGTCAGAACAAGTGTCATTATTTGTGAATTTTATCACCTTGATACCTGGTTGACAGTAAAGTTATTTAACATTCATTGTCTAAGCTTATATGGATGTGAACAATGGGACCTGCAAAATGATGACTTTGGTAAGCTTAATTGTGAATAAAGGAAATGATCTGGATGTATCTTGGGTGTCCTTCATCACACTAATTGGAATTTCCTACCTTGCCTGATGTCCACACCTACACTTGAAATAATTCCTAAACAAATGATATTTTGTCCGAGTTTACTGGACGGTTGATTACTTTAAGTAAAATCGCTCCACTCTCTCTCACCATGCCTACTTTCCAGAAATATTAATTTAATTCACAGGAAATACAACTTAACGGAGATATATTTAATGGGTTAACATGTCTACAAAACAGAATAGCACAACTCCTCAGCAAGTAGACTCCCTGCTGGATATTTGGAATGATTAAAATACTAATGTCACAGATGGATTGCTGGCAGGCATTTTGAGTAATTGATGTTATACAAGCTGTGTGCTTAGTGATTCTGAGCCAGGTTAACCCCAGAATCTGTTGACATAAAATGCTTTGGGTTTACTAGTATATACATCATGGTATGATTAATTTATATTAGATCTAATGCTAATTGTCACATCATTCAAATTTTGTGATGAACTGTATATCATCTTTCTAATTCTTAAGGTAAATGTCATTTACTTCATACCTAAAGTGTAAGTAATTATCAAAACAAATGACTAAAGTGTAATTTTTTACTTGGATTGTTATGCACCTGTTTAATCTAGCTAATGAAATGATTCATATAAATTATTACCAATTAAGTTTTTGATTCTGATAATGACAATGTCTACTTGCTATTCTGTTATTGTGACACTCTTATGTAATTAAAGTGCTCTACTTTTTATGGAAACTTTCCCAATTATAAATGTACTACTGTACCATTTCAGAATAAAGTTTGATTGTTTTCCCTGCATATTCTAGGTCCTGTGCCCATTATTAGGGGGAACACTTTATTCTTCTGGTCTAAGAATAAAATTAAATTTTTGAAAGTGAAACAAAAAAAATTTACAGCTAGGCCTCTGCCCATCTCCTGACACATGCAACTTCCTTGGGTCCCACTTTGCATTGTGTCCTTTAATCCAATTATCATCAACTTCCTCTGTAGTCGTCACTCAGATGGCCCTCCAGGTATGCTAGCCATACACCTTCCATCTCAGCCCCCCCCTCCCAGCATCACCTCCAATCTAAAACTACTGTAAAGGTGACAGTCATTTATTACACAGACATTTTACATCCTATAAATCCTCTTTTTGGCCACAAGCTGAAGCTTTATTCAAATTCTCAAAGCTAAATTTCAGGATTTGAACAGAACCATGAGTGTGCAAAGTTCAAAATGTTACAATGCATTTAGATATATAGTTTAAAGCTTAAATTGAAAGACAAGATAATGACCTAAAGATTAATCCCTATAAGCACAATTAGACGAGTCAAGAAGGAGGGAGCAAGACCGGGGTTGATACAGGGGTGGCCTGGGTAAGAGGGGGTAGGATTGGTTGGGGCAGAAGAGTACTCACCTAATTGTGCTTACTGGGTGGGGGCATTGAGCTTCGGCACTCTTGTCCCACCTCTCGGCCTTCAATCAAATAATGTATAGACTCGAAGTCTATTGATCTCTTGTCACATCTACATTTGAAGCAGTGATCTGACATTAATCAACTTTCTTCCATGTTTTTCCTTATTTTCAATAAAAAAAACAATAGTTTATCACATGTTTTTATAAGAAAACATTATACTGTAACAAAATCAAAATAATAACAAAGTAGGCTGTATCTCATAGTAGTAAATGATTATTGTTAGATCTGTATGAATCAGTCCTATCTACAGGGGATTTTGATCTTTTTTTTTTTTAGTGTGTGCTCACTGCTAAGGATGTATAAAGGAGGCTTGTTAATTAATAACATATTACATATATCAAAATGAGCCATCTTTCAACTTGCCGTCATGCCAAAATTTATAGGGAACAGGTGTAATGATAACTAAGGAGCAGATGCCTGGTCCAGGGACACAGTTGGGTGAGAACACAGCTGAGTGAGGGCAGCTGTGTGGTGACTTTGAGGGTCAGTGTCACTAGTTGCTCACCACCAAGATGATAATCACTATACATACAATGTAGGGTCAGAAAAGTATTTTCTTTCTGATAAATTATTCAATACTCAACTTTAAGAGCAATATACAAAATTAGTGATGAATGTAATGAAATGTCTTTTTCTGGTGGCTCGCTCTATCTTCCCTAGCTACCCAATTGGCAAACTAAAACTCAAGATCCACACCAGACTCCAACAATACATGAATGTCTTACAGAGGAGACCAGAATGTTGGGGTCTGTGGGTATACTACCACAGACCCTACAAACAGCCCAAAAACATAGTTCGGCAAGACATCAAAATACAATCTGCTCTATCCCGAACCCTGTATAAGAGTCAAGTCCTATACACTACCCAAGAAGTAATACTATCTCGAGAGGAGGAGAGACTAGTGAAAAAAGGGGTTCCAAACCCCTTTCATCACATGCAGCTATAGCAAACTTCAAATTAGGGCACACACGAGGGCAGGCGCTACACACGTGAAGCAAGAGAAACACAAGCAAAAGGTTCCTATTCAGACAAAGTCCAAGGGTAGCCAACGCTTGTCTGTACAAATAGAAGCCGAGCTCAAGTAGTGCCACAGTGATTTACACATTCTCGCACCTGGTATGCTAGTGATGAATGGTGTCCCAACACAATTAATTGGTGACTCGTGCTGCCACCTAGTGAATACAAATGGCAGACCAGTGGTTTGACTCGGATAATGATTAATTACATAGTTTGGATCTGCATTGTCATGGTTACCATGCTGTTACCTATTTTTGTATGTTCGATCTATCTGATGATTTTCTCTTGGGTTAAATCTTAAATCCCCAGATTCCCTTGGCTTTATTAAAGCAGCCAGATTCTGGACCTGGTCTCGGTGGGTGCTAGTGAATCTCTGAAATCTGGCTCGCTTTTTAAGTATGTTAGCTAACCAGGTGTGTAGCTAGGGAAGATACCGAGGAAGCGCTCCCAGAAAAAATCCTTGGATAGAATCAGTCAAAATATTCACTACAAAAATGAGGTAGGGACATGGCTATCATCTTGTAAAGTCAAATGTTATGATGAAAACTAAACATATCAATTATTAAACTTGCATTTCTAACAATGATCATTTGCATCCTTCATCTGAAGATATACTAATATTTATAGTACAGTACTGCCTATATGGAACAATACTGGATCACACCCAGGCTAGATAAAAAATTATGTACTTTCTTCACAACCTGTTGTTATACCACTAATGAGAAAAACAATTTAATCACCATATTCACTATAATTATTTATTCTTATACTGTACAATTATTCATGTGCAGCGGGAACTCCTTT